GATAAACCATTATAGTTGATAGATGGTTTACCCTCTGGTAAGTAAACAATTGGACCCTGAAAATGACTAATTTATAGTGGAAGCTAGTCTTCCAACCCCGATGAATGGCAGGGTCGAACTGTTAATTTACCAGAGGCTAAGTTTTGTTTAAGCGTCCCATTTTTATTGGTTGGACTGGTTGGATTAGAATCATTGGTATTTTAACACAAAACAAAAAGCAATGGGGCCATATATGTTGTTTTAAATAATGATCATAATCCCATGATTGGAATCTCCATGAAACCATTCATAGTTGGTCTGATCATGTTGGTCAGAAGCCATGTCATAGTGTCAGTATCACAGTCACATGTTTGCTATCCGTTTCAGGGTACCCCCCCTTACGAGAACTTTCAAAGATCCTGGAAGTTAGATCCACTGCAAATAACTTGCTGCTGTAAGTGGCTGATAGCCCGTAAAACATCGTGGCTGATATACCCTCTGGTTATGACTAACATAGCCATGGAAAGATCCACCCATTTTTAATAGGTAAACCATATATTTCTATGGGCCATCTATACCATGGCGAACTGTTAGTCATAACCAGATGGTAGTTTTGCTGCTGAGTTTCTCACCACTGGATTGCAGACCTACCCTTATTGTTTAGTCCTCATGTTGTCCCGTCCTCATGTCCTCCAGTAAAGTAACATACAGCTGCGGAAAGTCATCATTTATCAAAGGAAAATCAAACCAACAATGGGGCCATTGTCCATAGCTATCCTGGTTTACACTAGGGTATTTGTTTCCACTTACACCCATATCTTAGTCAACCACGATTATAGTGTATTATAGTACAGTATACCCATTATATACCCCTGACATAATCATTTCCCAATTAGATGGTGTATAGTTGATGGTAGTTGGAGGTATCCACCACTTTCAGGAAGACCCAACTACTGATTATATATTGTTGGTTACTCATTACATCCACTACATGCAGTATATCTCAACGATACCCTTATACCATCTTAGACCATTTTATACCATCTTATACCATTTTATACCATCTTATACCATCTTAGACCCCAATTATGTCCTAGTTCAGTCTCCATATTTGATCGGGAAACCACCATTTTCAGAGAGACCCTTACTGGGCATAGTTAAGTTAGTTTTTATGTACCCATTACACCGCGGTAATATCCAATCCAATCAAATCGGACTTGCCATAATTGGATATAATTGGCTAGGTTACTACATCCCCCAATTATCGATTTCTTATACCTATGTCCCATTGAATCCCATTCAATTTGATGTTTCATGGATAAATTTCCCCATGTTTCATTGTTAAACCACAGCTTTTCCTCCGGTTTTGGTTCTTTTATGGCACCAGGTGGCTCGACCTACCAATGCCGTGAAGGCCTCTGAGTCTCCTGGAATTTGTCGTGGACACACGCAAAAAAGTGTGGATTGTTTAAAGCATCAAAACCATTGTTTTTTTAGCAAAAATGCTGAAGAATTTGATGTTCACCAGGATGCTATGGGATTTGAACTATCGAACATTGGGCTTTACAGGTGGATTAATGAATATGAATAGGGAATTTGCCATGAGACATTTTGATTTCATAGGACAACAGGATTAGTCCATTAAAAGCATTGGATTGAATGGGAACTTCCGGATGGTTTTTCCATGACTAAAACGATTTGATGGAAACGGTTGGTGATGGGAGTTTTATACCATTTTTTATACCATCAAGTCTACTGTTAATGGGGGTTATCAACCAACAAAAAAAAGGGGATTTTAACCAACCATCATGGGGGTATGTATAATCTGTTTGGTGGTTGAGCCCTACCCCTCTGAAAAATATGAAGGTCAGTTGGGATGATGACATTCCCAACGTATGGAAAAATAATCCATTCATGTTCCAAACCACCAATCAGATCACCATCATATTCCCATTGTTGTTGGTTTATACCCTATTAACCACTATTAACCATCACTATTAACCAGCAAAAAATGTTCCAAATCACCAACCAGTCTATATATATCTATCTATTTTTTGGGTGACTATATCCAGAGTTGGAGATGTCACCAGCTAAACTTGAGATAAATGGTGTTACTATCTGCCTGCAAGCTCTTGGCTGAAAAACAATGTTCCAAACCACCAACCAGCAATGTAAGTGAAGAATCATTTAGGTCTATGAAACCAACTTGTGGAGTGTACACTGAGAAAACAGCTGTCCCGAATCAGGTTTCGAACGGAAAACAGGGATTTTACATTTTTTTTCAAGGAAAATGAATTTAATGTGATTTAATATGTTATAATGATTAATTAATGGGTTTGAATGGAATAAAAATACACAGTGGGCCCCCGAAAAAAATTAAGCTGGTGTTTAAAGCCATACAACTGTACAGATGATTTATTGGCGGGTTTAGCTCACCTTGCGGGCCGGCGAGCGGGCGGGGTGGTTAGCGATTTCGGAAGGAGAAGCTTCGAAAATGTCAGTTGGTAAACGTATCCCTACAATGTGAGGCCCCCAGTCGATAGCGTTCAGTTGGTGAACATAACTCCAATTTCACTATGGTTTATGGTACACAAATAACTTATAACGAACTAGTTACTGGGGCGAATCTAAGCCAATATTCACATCCCTGGGGGGCCTCACATCGCTTCAGTGAGTTTTCTAGGACCTCAGCTTTGGCAGCCAGAAAAGGTTTGTATGCAAAAAAAAAGCTAGATACCTTGTCTTGGGGAGTTGAGACATACATATATATATATATTACTGTGTACAGCACATATATATATACACATATGAACATTGTTAACCATACACCACACAATTCTTTTCTTAAACTGTGTTGGTCTCTCAGTGGTGAACAGGATCCACAGCCAGGCAGCAAATCGAAAGGTGCGCGACGGAGTGCGAAATTCCGCCGTGTATACCAAGGACAAGGCAACAGCTGACAGGGCAGGATCTGAGAAAATCTTCGACGGGTAGTATTGAAATGTGTTGAAATAACCATGCGAATCTTTGAATATGAATGATATATATATAATATATATATAATATATATATATATACATAAAGCAACCCCAAAAAAATATAAGTAACATATTTCCAGGATGGATTTTGGATTATAGATGATCATGTTTTTCCCATAGAAAACCCAGGCATTCCAACCTTTTGGGCATTTTTGTTGGTGGGGTTTGCTACCAATCAGCCAGCTCCAAATTTGAGTTGATCCCATGGCCGGGTTAGCCACCCATGGTCCCATGGTTGTTTGAATACGCCATGCGCCATGGGAAAATTCTATGGGAATACTATGGGAATATTATGGGAATTCATGGGATTTCACTAGCAACTATGGGAATATACCATGAGATTATCATTTCTATAGATTTTGGGTAAACCCGATCACGACCGAACCCTGTTCTCCCGAACCCTGGAATCATGGTTTATTTTAGGGAAATCATCCCCATTCATGGCCGCAAGATTCAGGTTAGTGAAATATTATAATTTTCCCAGATCCATGACTTGGATTTGATGATTTGGGGGTAGAGCCTGTAGCTGGTGAGGTTTTTGAAGTGATGGCGGAAGCTCATCCCGCTTGACTTCAGTACCGAACCACCATTTGTAGCAGTTGTATCTAGCTGACTCGCCATATTTTGAGGTGAGATCTTCCATGGACAAGCACGGGGCCACTGGGGGGAAATATGGACATGTGTTTTGGGATCTATCATAAGTCTTCCTGTAGTCTTCCAAGCATTAAACTTACACTTCAAGGTTGCGAGATGTTATAAGATATACACCCTGGTAAATTAACATAGACCCTGAAAAAAAACACCATTTTTGGTGGACACCAATCTTCCACCCCCTATCTGATAGGGTTGTCATGTTGATTTACCAGAGGGTACCATCTGGTTATTTAACATAGCAGTGGACAATCACCATTTTTAATAGGTAAACCATCTTTTTCTATGGGCCAGTTCCCATTGCTATGTTAAATAACCAGAGGGTAAGTGTTTACCAGCGCTGTTGCAACGATAAGTCATCCATGTCCATTCCATCGGCCGGGCCGAAATATCGCAGATCCTCAGATTCTGCGCCTTTGGCTCGGAGTTCCGATGGAGTCAGTCTACGCTACCCTGGTCATTTCAGAGTTTTTTCACCAACATCCAAATAAAACCATATTCTCCATGTAAATAGTCGACTTACCCATTAAACATGGCAATTTATAGTTGATTTACCCATTAAAAATTGTGATTGTCCATACATTTATGCTCCATGTCTGGAATATTTACCAACATTTGCCCGAACAAAATCACCCAAATGTAGGCAAATATACCATACATGGAGCATATGGGCAATACTACAGCAGGTAAATCATATCGAACTAAATGGGCCATTTCCCATAGCGATGTTAAACTATCAGATTGTACATTTCACGTGCAAACATGTGTTTAATCAACATGTTGGATGCAATAACCAATATACGCAGCCTGCTACACTAACAACAAGCAACGCGTTTGACAGTCACCAACTAACCAACCAAGATGTGTTGTGTTTTTATCCACATACTTGTACAATAGGTAGAATGACCTTCCATGAGCAAACTTAGATTGCCTACAACTGTAGGACTCTATAGATAAACTGTTGTCCTGTGGTTGATGAATGGTCTAATAATCGTCTAATTTGAAGCAATTAATGTCATGTCCCACTCGAAGAAAGACTTGTTGAAGGGCTATCACTATGAATATCATGGTCCTGCCAATATATATATAATTATACATATATATATATACATGTTTAGTATATATATAATATATATATATACACATTACTTATATGTATGAGTCAGGGTCAAAATGGTTGAAGACCATTTTAGTATTGCAGGAGTTTTTTGTCAGAGATGTGCACGAAACACTGGAAAGCCGTATGCCTCCCAATAGCAACTACTGAGATATAAAGGATTTTGACGGCGCTCAAATATGTATAATATCTATATAAATATACACACACACACGCTAGATACCCGTTGCGAATGTCACTCTCCTCCTCGTGAATGATTTGTGCTGCACAGACTGCTCAGATGGCTGAGGAGTGTACCTGTACCCACTGGGGTCCGGGATCGAATTTGTCGTGATAGGTAGTTGTCTACTTCAATCAGAAATAATACACATTGGTATGTATGTATGTATTGCAATGTAATGTAATGTAATGTAATGTAATGTAATGTAATGTAATGTAATGTAATGTAATGTAATGTATGTATGTATGTATGTATGTATGTATGTAATGTATGTATGCATGCATGCATGTATGTATGTGTATATATATATATGTCTAAGTCTATGTATGTGTATATATATATATACGTATGTAAGATGCATATGCATATAGTTACACATATATACATAGAGTATACAAGTATTTAGTTACACATATTTACATATAGTACAAGTATTAACCAGCAAAAAAAAGTGTCTACTGTAAGCTTGGCCAATGGGTGGGATTATATAGTAATATAACGCCCCCACTACCAAATATGATAGTGAGAATTGGGAGAATAATCCAAAAATTGACTTATGTTGAATTTTGGAATTTACTTTTTTCCCATGATATCAAGGATGCATGTCAATTTTGGATTTTTATTCACTCCTGGGTTGTTAAAAAACTGGTGGTCCTTTTTGTTGCAGAATATATAGCTTTCTGCGGTTGATATCCTGATCAAGCAGGGCTAACATTCACTCGAGGTTGACACTACATCATTAGATGATATATCTGGATAAATTATAGTGACCTCATTGCGACGTCACTGTTCAATGATGGGTAGGATTGGGTGGATTTTTGGAAAATGCGTTGTTTCAGGTTGTCAACCATTATAACTATCCGCATGTGTATATATATATATATAGAGAGCATACACTGTAGTAGAATCAAAATCAATAGTAAATCCCACTACAATCCCATTATAACATATTATAGCCAATTATACTCAGACTTGCCCTTCGGTAAACGTTTACACAGCTATCGTTTAAATCATCATTTCTAATAGGTAAATCAACTATTTCTATGGCCATGTTCAATAGCTATTTTCCAAATTACCAGAGGGTAAATCCCATTACACTTCATTACATCCCATTAGATCACCATTAAATCACCATAAATTACCAGAGGCTATTCACATTACTCCAGAATTACACCCCCACAGGAGCGGATTGATGGAGATTCATCTTTGAGGCGGCTGTGAAGATGTGCCTGATGTGACGCTCAGATGGGTCTGAAAATTGGCATCTTACCATCAATCAATATATATATATATATATACACATTATTGATATATAATATTGATTTATATATATATATATATTATGTATGTATTATAATTATAAAGTGATTTGTTTGTAGCAAGGACAAATGGTGATTTCACTGGATATACAACCAACCGGGTGATTTGAACAATTTGAGTGTGTCGGAAAATGGTTTCAACTCCGCAAAAATGGATATCTTTGGAATATAGTTGGATACAGCACGTATTTAAGCAATTGTATATGATTTGAACAACTTGGGTGGTTCTGAAAATGGTGTACTTGTCCGGATGTGTGTTCATTGAACGACGAAATTGTTGAAAGAACCTGTTTGTTCTTTGAAGGGCTACCCAGTGTCAGACAAAACCCAGATTCAAAGGACTGGAGCCAACAACAACCTTTGGAAAATGACAATGGGAACGGGGTCTACCATGTGGGGGTCTACCCCAAATCCCATGATATCGTTGGTGCAATGCACCACATCCAAGTACCGTTCCCCTTATATTCACATATGTGTTTGATGGTCCAATGTTTATAGTTGTTTTTTGTTATGTTTTTTGTATTTTTCATTTGAGACAAACTTATTGATCCATGTGTGTTCGCTCTCTTTTTGTCGGACACAATATATTTAATTATATATAATATATATAAGCATATTAGATATCACATGTTTTGCTGGTTAAATATTGTTTCTATTGGCAGATATCACAACTTCCATATCATACCCCTTTTATAGATTGGATAAACTGTTTACCACAAGATGATATCGGTTTGTCGTAAAATTGGATACGCACAAATGTTCTATTTTATCAATGTTATCCTTTGTTTCAACATTTATATAGCAACTTCGGGCGGCATACCCCATGTTCAGTCAAACCCATATCAATCATTCACTGGTTAAATCCATGTGTTTGATTGTCGCATTTGTTTGATGGCTAGACTGCTGTCTTTGGTGGTTATGAACCACTCATAGCGCCCCCCGCCCCCCAAAAAAATAATAGGATTGGTAAATTTCCTCTAAAGTCATGATTTTTTTTCAGAGGGGTAGGGCTCAACCACCAACCAGATAACCATTAATAACCATTAATAGGTAGTTAATAGCTATTGACCAATTAACCAATGGTTATTTTAACCAATAACCATTAGTTAATAACCAATCAGTATATATGGTCCCATTAATAACCATTAACAACCATTAAATTAATACCATATATATATATATGATAACCAGTAGTAACCATTAGATTATAATATGGTACCTCCAATGAATCGGTGAAATGGCCATTGATCCCACGTCGTGTCGACGCAGGTCACACAGGTCGAGGTGGACTGAATGGTCTTGGAGTGTTGCCTGGTACATTGGTACAATGTGAGGCCCCCGTTCGATAGCCAAGTTGGTGAACATAACTCCAATAACTATGGTTTATGGTACGCAAATAACGAACTAGTTACTGGGGCGAATCTAAACCAACTTGGCTATCTTGGGGGCCTCACATTGTAGAGGCATCTGCATCGTATGTATACTTTTGCGTCCGTATATATATATACACATACATACACATGTTTTATCTTCTTATAAGTATAATTCTATTGTATATATGAGCAACCGTCAAAACTCGCGGATACTGAGATATGTATTGGCTGGACATTGGTTTTCAGAAAGTGCAAAAAACTGAGCTTAACGATGGGACCTTTCCAAATAGCGATGCCCCATGTTGAATTCAATAGTTGATAATTATATTTCATGAGTGTTGATTTCGTCAAGTGCTCGCATCGGTGATAGACTTGGGCTCGGGGTTGAAAGAAAAGGAAAGGAAAAGGAGAGGGAAAGGAAAAGAAAGAGAAAAGGAAAGGGATAGGAACAGGAAAGGAAAAAGACGAGGAAACAGAAAGGAAAAGGAAAGAGAAAGGCAAAGGAAAGAGAAAGAAAAGGAAAAGGAACGAGAAAAGAAAGGAAAAGGAAAGGGAAAGAAAAAAGAAGGAAACGAAAGGAAAAGGAAAAGGGGAAGGAAAAGGAACGGAAAAAAACAGAAAAGGGGAAGGAAAAGGAAGGGAAAAGGAAAGGAATAGTTTTACAAGCAAATGATAATGCACCCGCCTGATTATGCAAAAAAGCGGATCGGTTTTAGCGATACCATAGCGATGCCTTAGCGATACCCAAGTTCTCCCAATTGCACAGGATCCCCAACTACTTGTACCCGTACTTCTACTTCTACTGCTACGTCTTCTATTGTACTTACGCTGCTACTACCAATACTGCTGCTACTACTACTACTGGTACTGCTACTGCTACTACTACTACTACTTCTACTACTTCTACTACTTCTACTACTTCTACTACTTCTACTTCTTCTACTACTTCTAATGCATCTACTACTTGTACCACTACAATCACTAAAACTACTAGTACCACCACTACTACTGGTTACTGCTGCCGCTACTGATGCCGCTACTGCTGCTACTGCTACTGCTACTGCTACTGCTGCTGCTGCTACTACTACTACTACTACTACTTTTGCTGCTGCTACTACTTCTTCTGCTACTACTACTGCTACTGCTACTACTGCTACTACTACTACGACTACTACTACTACTACTGCTACTACTACTACTGCTACTACTACTACTACTTCTACTACTACTACAACTACTACTACTACTACTGCTACTACTAAGACCATTAATACCAATACTGCTACTAATACCAATATTACTACCAATACTCCTACTACTCCGACGACGACTACTACTACTGCTGCTGCTGCTGCTCCTACTATACTTCTCCTATTCCGACTCCTACTACTAGTGCTACTACTGCTCCTCCTCCTCCTACTACTACTAGTAGTAGTAGTACATTTGTTAGAATTTTCCTGCTACTATCACCAAGATTGTGTTACTAGCCTTGCTAATATTTCTAATATATACTTCCAATTTCTTTGTACTACTTTTACTAGTATTAGCGCTGCTAGCACTTCTAGTACTCCTAAAATCTCAGTACATTAATACTAATAAGTATAATTCTTTTGTGTAAATATATATATATATGTGTACAATTGTACACATGTTTTATCTTCTTATAAGTATAATTCTATTGTATATATATAATACATGCAACCCAAAAAACAAAAAAATAATAAACAAAACACAAAATCCTGATTAGCGGTGAACGACTTTTTGTTGAGTCATGTAATCTGTAAAAGGTTTTGCAGCCGATAGGGGGTCTTTGGAATTTGATTCTAGGTTCCTTGGTGATTTAGTTCTACCTCTGATTGTGTGATATATGTTTTCCATTATTTATTTCTTTATCTATCTTATCTATCAAGGTAGGTGGCCTTGGTATATACTAGCGAAAATGATCCCAAAGGAACGATCGTCTTGGGTTAGTGTCCCTTGGATGTTTCAATATTATTAATTCTTATCCGTCATTCGGTAGTCATGCCAAGATGGGGATTGATAATTAGTGTCTCCATCCATTTACCCTTCTATTCGTGGAAGTGCCAATCAGAACAAACGATCACCATTCGATCGTAGTTCAGATAGGTTTTTTGTTTGGGGTTGGGTACTTCGATAAAATAAAAAATATATCATATCTATGTTTTGCAATTGATCTGGGGTCTTTGGAAATGGATTCATGGGTCTTTCCAAGTATTTTATATTTGATGGAATTGAATTGTATTATAGGTATATTATTTCCCCTATGAGGTAACCAATTGGTTGATTAAATGGGTATCATCTTTCCATTGGTTATTTAATGTAACTATTTGTTTTTTTTTTACCATGCTCATAGATAATTATATGTGCATTATTATGTTCACTCTTAGGCAACCACTTGGTTGGCTAAATTGATATCTTCCCAGTATCGGTTACGGTTATTTTATTCTATTATATTCCTTGGATTAATTGCGGTCCACTACCATTTCTGAAGGGTACCCAACCAATTGCTGGATCAAACTGGAAAAGGTATCAACCACGCTCTTGTTTTTTCTAGGGTGGTGCCCCCATATACCTTTGGTATAAAGCCACCAATGTTATCCCTGATGATCATTATTTTTTTTCAAGTACTAAATTTCCCCCATTATTTCTACGTCTACACCATATATCCTTTGAATGCAATGTCCAAGTATGAATTTGCCGAACTCAGGGCGCAGAAATCTGCATCCTGATTTAGGAAAAAAAGTTTTTTTGCCGATATCCTAGGTGCTTGGTGGGGTATTGCCTAAGTTAAGTTGCAAGAATCTGCACTAGACTTGGGCAATACAGAGGTTGTACCTTGGGATTTAGGAAAAAAAATGCCGATATCAGGGTGCAGAAATTTGCATGTGGACATGGGAAACAGCCTTACTATTATATTCTGCCATGATTTTTGCCGCAATGGATTCGGGGTCCTTGATTTTTAGGGAAAATATTTTTGTTTTGCCGATCTTTTGGCTTGGGGGACCCCGTATCCATCGCAACCACAAATCCGTCGCATAACAACATGTTATTTTACATTTAATCGAAGTACCCAACCCCAAAAAAAAACCTATCTGAACTACGATCGAATGGTGATCGTTTGTTCTGATTGGCACTTCCACGCATGGAAGGGTAAATGGATGGAGACACTAATTATCAATCCCCATCTTGGCATGATTACCGAATGAGGGATAAGAATTAATAATATTGAAACATCCAAGGGACACTAACCCAAGACGATCTTTCCTTTGGGATCATTTTCACTAGTATATACCAAGGCCACCTACCTTGATAGATAAGATAGATAAAGAAATAAATAATGGAAAACATATATCACACAATCAGAGGTAGAACTAAATCACCAAGGATCCTAGAATCAAATTCCAAAGACCCCCTATCGGCTGCATATATTGATATATATATATAGATAGATAGATAGATAGATAGATAGATAGATAGATAGATATAATCTATTTTTTATTTTATCGAAGTACCCAACCCAAAAACAAACCTATCTGAACTACGATCGAATGGTGATCGTTTGTTCTGACTGACACTTCCACGCATGGAAGGGTAAATGGATGGAGACACTAATTATCAATCCCCATCTTGGCATGATTACCGAATGAGGGATAAGAATTAATAATATTGAAACATCCAAGGGACACTAACCCAAGACGATCTTTCCTTTGGGATCATTTTCACTAGTATATACCAAGGCCACCTACCTTGATAGATAAGATAGATAAAGAAATAAATAATGGAAAACATATATCACACAATCAGAGGTAGAACTAAATCACCAAGGAACCTAGAATCAAATTCCAAAGATCCCCTATCGGCTGCAAAACCTTGTAAATAGTTGGATCAGGGCCTTTAGAAGGCCGTGGTGTTTTGTACACATCGGGGGGGTGGGGTGGTGTGGGGTGGGGTGGGGTTGGGCATGTAATAACGTTCATGTGAACTTGCGGAGGGAGGACATGCTTGTCTGTGGCTGCCGGTAGGTGCATGTATGCACGGGTGGGGTGGGGTGAGGTGGGATGGGGCATGTAATAACGTTCATGTGAACTTGCGGAGGAAGGACATGCTTGTCTGTGGCTGCCGGTAGGTGCATGTATGCACGGGTGGGGTGGGATGGGGCATGTAATAACGTCATGTGAACTTGCGGAGGAAGGACATGCTTCTCTGTGGCTGCCGGTAGGTGCATGTATGCACGGGTGGGGTGGTGTGGGGTATGTAATAACGTTCATGTGAACTTGCGGAGGAAGGACATGCTTCTCTGTAAGTTCTCTGGAACTTTCCACTCATGCGTCATGCCACGCTATGTAAGTTCTCTGGAACTTTCCACTCATACGTCATGCTACGTTACTGTAAGTTCTCTGGAACTTTCCACTCATGCGTCATGCCACGCTATTGTAAGTTCTCTGGAACTTTCCACTCATACGTCATGCTACGTTACTGTAAGTTCTCTGGAACTTTCCACTCATGCGTCATGCCACGCTATTGTAAGTTCTCTGGAACTCTCCATGTGTTCATGTGGTGCTGGTGTTGTACCTTAAACAATCCAGATCCGCAAAGGTTCTTGGAAGAACTCGAAGCGTTGCTGTGACCAACACAGGTATCAAAACATGTCAGGTTGAATATTTTGAGAATTCTCACAAACCCAAAAATGGTAGTTTCGTCTAGGCGAAATGCTTGTTTTTGAAAATATGCACCAGAATAAGGGGTTAACGGCCTTAAAAACCACATCAAAACATGTCAGGTCGAATTAGCTTGGGAATTCTCAAAAACATAAAAAATGGTAGTTTCATCTAGGCGAAATGCCTGTTTTTGGAAATATGCACCAGAATAAGGGGTTAACGGCCTTAAAAATCACAGCAAACAAAATCCTATT